CAAGCCCACCCGATTGAGGTAATCACCGACCAACCACTCGGATAGGTTTTATCTAAATTCAACATTGCAGGTCGGCTCCTCAAGTGGTCGGTAGAGCTGGGAGAGTTTGACATACATTACGTGCCGAGGACTACCGTCAAAGCCCAGTCCATGGCCGAATTCATCGCCGAACTCGTTCAGATCGAGGACGAAGGTTCCGAGCAATCTGAGGAAGCGTGGATCCTGCCTGTGGACGGCTCGGCTACCTCGAGTGGCGCGGGCGTGGGACTGGTGCTCTCAGCCCCCGATGGACGCTCGTTCGAACGCTCCCTCCGCTTCGGGTTCCGAGCAACCAACAACGAAGCCGAATATGAGGCACTCCTGGCAGGACTCAGGCTGGCCCTCGAGATGCAGGTGAATGTCATCCACGTCCTCACCGATTCGCAGCTCGTGGCCGAGCAGCTTAGCGGCGGATATGAGGCCAGGGAACCAACCATGGCAAAGTACCTGGCGGAGGTAAAAAGCCTAGCCTCCAATTTCTCTCACTTTATGGTATCTAGGGTGCCAAGGAGTCAGAATAAGCGAGCCAACGAGTTGGCTAAACTGGCCTCAAGGTCGGACTCTAGAACCCAGTCCGAGATCGAAGAGCTCCCTTCTCGCACCATCTCGGTCTCGGCTGTATCTTCAGCCGATGCTCGTGCCACGTGGGTGCAGGAGATCCTCCGCTTCAAGTGCGACGGGATTCTTCCCGCCGACGAAGCTGCGGCTCGGTGCATCTGCCGAACACAAGCATGGTACTCCGAGGTGAACGGATGGCTCTACAAGCGGTCCTTCTCGCACCCACTACTGCGGTGCCTCGGGCCTGAAGAGGCTCAGACGGTCCTGGCCGAGGTTCATGAAGGGATTTGCGGAGAGCATATCGCTGATCGGACCTTGGCCTACAAAATCCATTGCCAAGGGTACTACTTGTAACATCCCATTAGTCCCACATCGGAAGTGGGCAATGTGTATGATTAGCTTATATGGGCCTGATGAGTGTACTACATTAACTCCTGCTTAAGCATTTTGGTCCGCGATTGAAGGACCAAAATGGAGTTATTGGCCAGTTGGCTCATCAGACTCGGGTCTTGACATTTGGTATCAGAGCCGACCTAGCATTTGGGCAGGTGAGAGGGCTCAAGTAGGAAAGGATTACCCGTGGATGGAGTCAGAGAACTCATCACGGCGTGGAGCCACCACTTCCGATGTGGGACTAATGGGATGTTACTTTAGTAACTCCAAAGCATATATTGCCATAGTTCTCGGAGACCCTACTCTATCAGACTAATTATATATTATTTCTATAATTAATTTTTCTTAGTATCTCCATCTTTATAATTTTAAAAGTTATATTAAAATAGTTATATTTATAAAAATAAAAATATTTAATTCTATTATTCTATTATTTTATTTTTAATCTTATAAAATTATTTTAAAAATTTTGTATAAAATTCTATAAAATTATCCTTTTAATTACAAAGATAATATGTAATTCTTTTGGTGGCCTTTTTACCATAGAAACCACTAAAGGCGACGCGTTTGGCCATATAAAGCGCTAAAGGTGACGCCTTTCCGTGGAGTGTGAGCATGGCCGGCGCTACCACCCCTTCCTCGGGCGTTTGGAAGTTGTACCAGCCGTATTGGAAGCGGACGAATTTGCTGCAACTCGGCGTCGTCGCCCTCCTCTGTTCCGCCTCTTACTTCCTCGGAATCTGCCATCACGGAGGAGATTCCGCCTCCTTCAACTCCACCGTTCTCAGCGCCGTCTCTTGCGACCGGAACCCCCCTGCCACGACAACAACTGTTGGCGCCGGGACGCTGGACTTCGCCGTCCACCACGGGGCGGACCAGTCGTCGACAGGGTTTCCGGTTGTCCGGGAATTTCCGGCGTGCGACGTCAAATACTCGGAGTACACGCCGTGCGAGGACCGGACCCGGTCGTTGCGGTTCGACCGGAAGCGACTCATCTACCGGGAGCGGCACTGCCCGGAGAAAGGAGAGCTCCTCAAGTGCCTGATCCCGGCGCCGCCCGGGTACAAGAGCCCCTTCCCATGGCCAGCGAGCCGGGATACGGCGTGGTTCGCCAACGTGCCGCACAAGGAGCTCGCAGTGGGGAAGGCGGGACAGAATTGGATCCGCGTCGACGGGGACAAGTTCCGGTTCCCCGGTGGCGGTACCATGTTCCCCAACGGCGCCGACACCTACATCGATGACATCGACCAGCTTATTTCTCTAAGTGATGGGTCGATCCGGACGGCCGTCGACACCGGCTGCGGGGTGAGTGGTTCCTTCTTTGTTCTTCTTTCCCCTGTTCCTGTTGACCCTACTTGCTTTTCCGTGCTTAATGACGGCGGTCAACGGGGTTCCGGGCAAAAAATTCGATTTTGGAAAGTACTAAGATTGGATTCTTCCCCCTTTGATCTGTTGAAATTCCCGGCGTCGGTTCAAATTAGGTTTCCCTGTTGATGGAACAGGGTTGATCAACAACACGAATTTTTCCTTCTTTCTACGACAAATCGTCAGAAAAATCTGGATCAGCCTGATAGATTCTGGTCGAAGTCAACGCTCTTTTGACCATGAACCTGCATGTCGGAGAAAACTCGAGTGAATTCTTGGATTCGTTGACTATCTTTCTCTCACAAATCGGTGAATGCTTCGATCCCTCTGATTGGATGCAGGTGGCGAGCTGGGGAGCTTACCTTCTCTCTCGGAATGTCCTAACCATGTCGTTCGCGCCGAAGGACTCGCACGAGGCGCAAGTCCAATTCGCGCTCGAGCGTGGCGTCCCTGCCATGATCGGCGTGCTTGCATCCATCCGCCTCCCCTACCCGTCGAGGGCCTTCGACATGGCCCATTGCTCAAGGTGCCTCATTCAGTGGCACCTCTATGGTACTTCTCTGCTTCTGTCGCTTCTGGTTCATCTTCTTGTATCACCTCCTCTCCCGTCTTACTCTGTCATGTTCTTGTGAAAAGATGGGCAGTACTTGATGGAGATCGACCGCATTCTCAGGCCCGGTGGCTATTGGATTCTCTCCGGGCCACCGATCAACTGGAAGCAGCACTGGAAGGGTTGGAACAGAACAAAGGAGGATTTAAGTGAGGTGCAGTCTGCCATTGAAGCTGTTGCCAGGAGCCTCTGCTGGAACAAACTGAAGGAGAAAGGAGACATTGCGATCTGGCAGAAGCCTGTCAATCACATCAGCTGCAAAGCCAATCGCAAGATCATTCGATCACCTCAGTTCTGCCAATCGCAAGATCCAGACTCCGCTTGGTATGCGCTTCTACGTAGCACCTGCACTACCCGCCTGACAAAAGGATCATCTTTTTCCTGTAATGATCTGCTAGAAATCTCGAATCAGGTACACAAAAATGGAGACTTGCATCGTCCCTCTGCCTAAGGTGGCCAGTCCCGAAGAGACTGCCGGTGGGGCACCGAAGAGGTGGCCCGAGAGACTTACGGCGGTGCCGCCACGGATCGCTAGTGGAAGCGTTGTTGGAGTCACAGCGGAGACGTTCTTGCAAGACACCGAGCTGTGGAAGAAGAGGGTTGGATACTACAAGAAGGTGATCGGCCAACTGGGTCAGGCGGGCAGATACCGCAACCTGCTCGACATGAACGCTAATTTTGGTGGCTTTGCTGCCGCCCTGATCGATGATCCTCTCTGGGTGATGAACATCGTCCCAACAACTTCTCAAGTGAACACCCTGGGAGTCATCTATGAGCGTGGGCTAATTGGAACCTATCAGGACTGGTGAGTGACTCACTCCACAGATCTGCTGGTGCTGCTACCACCACCACCACTGTTTCTGCTTCTCTGTCCTCACAGTGCCATTCGTTGCAGGTGCGAGGCAATGTCTACGTATCCAAGGACTTACGATCTCCTCCATGCCGACTCGGTGTTCAACCTTTACAAGGACAGGTAAGAAGGATCGATTCTGCTTCTGCGTCGAGATCATGTAGCTCATGTTGGTTCATTATTAATTCTTCTAATCCAGATGCGAAATGGAGGACATTCTGCTGGAGATGGATAGGATCTTGAGACCCGAGGGCACGGTGATCATCAGAGATGATGTTGACATCTTGGTCAAGATCAAGAGCATTGCAGATGGAATGAGATGGAACAGTCGGATCGCAGACCATGAAGATGGCCCTCTGCAGAGGGAGAAGCTCCTTTTGGTGGTGAAGACCTACTGGACTGCTCCGGGACCAGACCGGCAATAGGTTGCGGGTTGCAGAAGATAACTTGAGATCTAACCCTTTGATTTCACAGCTTGTTTTATCTTATTGTGGTAGTTCATTCAATTCATAACCGGACCTGAGCTGCGTCAGTCTCGTATCACCTCTGACAGAGATGATAGAAGAAGAGGAGATAGTATAGGAACCAAGTCCTACACCAGCAGCAATTCTTACCTAAAATGAGATGGTCGAAGACAATTCTTCTATTACTGATCAGTATATAAATTCTTCTTTTTTTATTTTTGATGCAAAATCTCATCCTCAGGGAGGATCTGAAATAGTTAATCATATAATAATAATAATAATAATAATAATAATAATAATAATAATAATAATAATAATGACAAATATTCTTGCTGAATCTTTTTGACTGATATATTATTATTATTATTATTATTAAATTATGTTTAAGTATTTTGAACTCGTAAATTCATCCTGATTCGATCTGATAGAATAATTAATCCATTCTCATTGAATCTGAACTCCTGATTAAAATAATTAAATCTAAATGAATGATAGTATGCTTCTCAAACATTAATATAGCTCATAATAAAAATGAAATCTTAATATGACGTATGTACTTAATCTTTCATCATATTTTGACATTAATTCAACTCTAATAATAATTATTAAGAGGTAATTGTTCCATTAATTTATTAAATTTAAACTATATATATATATATATATATATATATATATATATATAGTTTGTTCAGTTTGTTTTAAAATCGTGCGTTACATTTCATTCAGTTTGTTTCGACTCAAGTCCGATCGACTCGGCCGGAAGCCCACCGAAGGCCCTAAAGCCTGTGTGTTTTGGGGCAGCAGTCGCGGGTCGCCGCCAAGTTCCTCCAAGGTCTCCGATCCTCTCTTGTAAACGGTTTCGTAATCGCTTATCGCCGTTTCCGTGCTCTTCTTCTTATTAGTCGTCGATGTGGTTCTAATTCCTTTTGACATGGAGCAGAGAGGGAGAAGGCCCACGGGAACCCGCAAGGTGGCCATTCAACTGGATCGAGGGCGCCAACCCTCCAGCTTGCCGCCTCTGCCTTTCGCAACCTCGTCGACGACTCCTTTGATCCCGTCGAACACCGGGCCGGACGGTGGTTGATTGATGCTTTGGGTATTCATGGTCGAGCATGAGCTTGCATTACTTGTCTATCACTGAGTTCAAACTCACTCTTTTCTACATTTGTACGTTTCTTTCTGCTAGGAGAGATGTTAATGAGCTGTGTTTATCTTATTTCAGTTTGGTCCGACCGAAACAAATGTTCCAAATACATGATTCTACCAACCAATTTATGGTTCCTGATATCAGCTTATGCTGTCTATCTGAGATAGAATTGCTTTAGTTGTTTAATCTGTAATGTGCATCTTTACTAGTATCGTCCTGTCTTTTGTTAAGATGTATATATGCTGATTCATGGACGTAAATTCTGTGGCTTTACTCTGAATGCATGGAGTTGCTATTTAGCTCCAAACTCTCTCTTCCTCTTTCATATGTATACATGTCTATGCATTTGTTTATTGACTAGAAAAGGTTAAAGGCTTGGTGAAATCCTAATTGTTTATGAGGATTACTTGTTTTATGGACTTGACCTTCAAATTAGTTTGATATCATGAAATGGAGAATAAGGGAGGCAAGATACATACTTTAGGAAATATGACATGCTGCAGAAATCAAGCTTATTGATCAGTCAACTTGAAGGTGACTGATGGCATCAAATGATGCTTTGGAGGACCTTTGTTTAGGTTTACTCCCTAGACGTGAGCAAAACAATGTGTCAAGTTTATAAATGAGTACTGCCAAAATGTGATCCCTCCATGCTGGGTGTCAGTTTTCCTCTAAGGGAAATTCTTCTGTAATCACTTTTAAGCTACTCCTTCGGAGCAAGACAATCATTGGACTCACCCATATCAAAATTTCCTAGTAGGATTTCTTTTCATCGATTAAAAGCAGCAACACAGATTTTGGAACAATTTACATGTCCATTACTTCTTTTCCATGAGGATAAGAACACTTCTTTTTCATGAGCAGGACAGAGAGCATATTTATCATATAATGAGAACCATTTCATCTGAGTATGTACTTTGTTATCCACATTTCTAGAGATTATGTTGAACTTTCGTATCTAACTCATTCTTGACTCTTGAAGTAGCCATATATCATGGCATTATGACTGCCAAAGCTATAAAACAATATTTAGGAATTACCTCAAGCCACATAACATTTTAATGATTCTTTGTTGCCAGTACCAAATCATCAAATCATCCCTGCTTCTAATATAAAGTATCATTTTCTTCCCGTAGTTGCCTGAAAATTCTTGATAATTTGATGTTGCAGCGAATATGATATTTATACTCATAATACTGCTATTGTATTTTCTCAGATGATTAATTTCCAACAGAAGCTGATGAAGGGAGCCCATTTTAGTCCTCGATGCCTCTTATATTGATTGCATAAACCAACATGCACTGTGAAGATGAAGACTAGGAGGAAGAAGAACAAAACCATGCTGATTTTGGGAGTGTTGGGGGTCGGATCATTTAGATCAGTATAGAGGGGAAGGCAAATTAAATTTGATATGAGCGCGTGGTAGTCACAGAAACTAAGAATCAGACTCTTCATCTCCAGGCTCGCTGGTCTCCTTGGGATGACCTTTGTCCATTTTAAACATCATACATACTTCTTGGGAGTCCTCATTCTTTTCTGTTGTAACTTCTAGCTATTACCTTGTACACAGATGTTACTGTATGAATAGTCTCTTATTAATTAAGAAAGGAAGAATTCGTAGCTTTCTTTAGTTATACATAGTGTTGGAAAATCATCATTGCTCTCACATAAAGAGGGGAATGGCAATTCATTGTTATTTTCTGAGCTTTGATGTCTTTTTGCTTCTTTCAGTCTCATTTTCTTCTAATTTATCGATTCTTCTAAATTATGCATCCTATTTATTGTACTGGATTCCTAGGATTAAATTGGGTTATGGTGTTCCTGATCTTCATATTAAATCTAGGATCTTCATTCACTGATTTCTGAAATGGGTGCTCTATGAAAAGAGATTTGACTTTGTAAGCCTTCTGAATAATGCAAACTGCAATGACAAATCCACTGAGTCTCAGAAACCTCCTTCGAGGTAGAAATAGAGTACACTCTGAATTAGATACATTCTCTTTTATCATCACATGGCGTTGGAAGCTTGTACTGTTTTTGTCTCTGTTTCAGGAGTATCTAGTCCAGGATCTGCCATCCATCAGGGTAGCATCCACCTCAATGGACGAGCGATGTGACTCAAATGAGGTAGCAAAGAAAGCCTGGAGAAAGATGGTCGGTAATCGTGCGACCCCTCAGTACTATCTCAGGTTTGGAAGCTGTACCTTCCTGGTTAACGTGACAGTACATTGTGCTTCTCATTTCATGCAACTAGTCAATCAGGTCCTTAATTGATGAACAGGAAGCTGCCTATGCTCCAACCTTTTGCAAGTGCTAAGAGCAAAGCTTTTCTAAGCCATCAAGAATCATGAACAGGAGGAGCCCTCTGCATCTGTTTTGCATCCCTGTGAATGATCACCACCTTAGCAAGTCTATTCATGCTCATGTTTTTAGAGGAAGGTAACTATTCAGTGATGTTTCCTCTTACTTTTTTGAGCATTTCCATGCAGAGACTGAGGTAAAACTGCATTTACTCATACTGTGAATTTTGCTTCTAGTTTTTATCCTTTTGTTCTCAGTGGTGGGTTTTGAGTCTCGCTCGGAGATTCTTTGGGTGCATCAGTCCATTTGCTGCGCTTCCTACCATAGAAATCTGCCAAATGTAGTTATGTAGAAGTTCTTTCATCCAAAAGCAAGGTTTTATGCCCAAGAATCCAAGAATTCAATCACAAATATTTTTCACTCATGATCATTTGCAGCTTACGAGGTTTCCAATCAACACTGCTGTACAAGGGAAAATCTGACTTGGAGGCATTGAACATGGTGCAGTCTAAGATTATTTTTAATCTTTTCTCAAGTTTCTTGCCTGACTATAAACTTATAATCTACAGCATGAGATTGAGTTCCGATATCCGATTATGGTCGTCTTGGGAGCCCAAGCTTTTGAGTTGATTAGATGGTGGTTCCATTTTCATGATGGACGAAATACAACACAATTTCTACCATAGTGTCATGGTTTTAGCTGGAATTGCCTAAGGCGTAAGGTACTCTTGCGGTCAAGACACGAACTTAGCTTGCGTTGCCTAAGTCACGCTTCGCCCTTGCAATATTGCTCCGCAAAGATCAGCCCACTTGCAACCTCTCGCAAGTCTCGAAGGATCTGTAAAAGAGAAAGTTGATTAGTTCGAAAGAACGAGCGACGGACAAGTCCCGACGTCTTGCGAAAAAAGGGAAAGCTTTACAAGCAATTCAGCGAGCACCTTGCGTACACAAGAGAAAAGAGGGAGAGGGGGAAAACAAGGGCTTTAGAAGGTTGAACGAACAGCTGCAAGCCCACAAACAGCTGCTCACCGAGTCCCGAGCGCGACAACAAGTTCCTGTTAAAGCAACGTGCGAACTTGTGAAGGAGTGTTCAACGCTCGGTACTATATCGAAGCCTCATCCAGCCCTGTGCCACCCGGGAGATTCCAAGGGGTTGAGATGGCTGACGTTTTGGTGAGCGAAGGCGGATTCTAGAAATCAGCTCGCGGCACACGAAAACGAAACTATTTTGGGTTATTTTGGGACTGTTTTGTTCGGTTCGGTGAGCGGTCGCTTTATAACGCTGCAGCTTGTTCGAACTTACATGTTTACAAGCAAAATGACCTAAAACTAAGACAAAACATGCTGTCAAGCAGGTACATGTAGGTGTGAGCGACGAACAATTCGTTGAACGGAATTATTGTGAGTGCACAACAACTGTTCGTGACAATAGACACCACATGCGAGCTGCAACTAATGATAAATTATGGACTCTTCTACCTACCTCCTTTAATCAAACAACTGCTTCACAATTGATGTTCATATAAGACATCAATTGCATATATGCATTTTTATGGTTCCAAATTCATTAAATTAATAGATCAATTATACCGTGGAGGCTTGCTCGTATGCCTCAAGTATATATATCATGTTACAGGAGAAAAGAGGATGAAAGATTCAGATGCTAGGAATTGAATTAGATTACAATTTCTTGATGAATATACTATCATTAATTTAAGTAATCTGAGTCTTGTTTATGATTCATTAAGTTAATAAGTCAATTATCCTATCAACATAGATTATAATAGATTAAATAGAATAATTAGCTAGTATATATGGATAGAGTTCATTCGAAGAGAGCCACCATAGAAATCCTGTTAAGGCCAGCTGTGATCTAACTACATTCCATAGAGATTGAACACACTTGTGCAGGGTGATTTCTATTGGTTTAAAATGTCAATGTTGGGTCAAAGAAGAAATAATTGAAGTATCAGTGTAGAATTAGAGAACAAAGCAGGAAAATGATTATTAAGTTTGAGATTTGTATGTTAAATTCTGATACAATGTCATGCACTCGTAACCATATCAAACTGTCTTTCTCCTTGCATAACCTTCACACTTCAATCCCAGACACACCATCTCTAGCAGCTGCTGCCGCCGCCACCTCCACCGTCATCTCAATCGCGAAACTGTTTCGGCTTTCCCTTTCCTCTGGCCCATCCTTTGAGCTTGTAAAGCAATTTTGGCTTCTTCAGACCTGAATGATTCTTCCTTGCTGCGACATCCAAGCAAGATTCAATACCAAGTTCTGCAACTGACGAGGAGCAATAGATAGGCTTCTTTGGACCTGAGCAAGTTTCATGACCAATGCCTGGTACTGGTGAACAGTCTGAGTCATGGAGTTCCACCCTGCAACTCATGACGTTGTCATTTGCTGGGAGCTCCATGATCCACTGGCCTCCAATTCTCTGCACTGGTTTTACTTCATGTTCTTCTTCCTCTTGATTCATCAAACCTAAATGATTCTTCCTTGCTGCCACATCCAAGCAAGCTTCATGACCAAGTTCAGTAACTGATGAAGAACAATATGTTGGCTTCTCTGGACATGAATGATTCTTCCTTGCTGTGGCAACTGAGCAAGCTTCATGGCCAATGCCTGCAACCGGTGAAGAACGGTCTGTATCATGGAGTTCCACCCTGAAACTCTTGACCTGGTCATTTGCTGGGAGCTCCATGATCCACTGGCCTCCCATTTCCTGCACTGGTTTTACTTCAAGTTCATTCCTCAAGCATGATCCAACCCAGCCCAGATAAATCAGCTCCTCCATTTCTAGGTAGCACCGGTATCGAAACTGGTCTAGTCGATCAGGCATTTCATTGTTGGATAAAATCCTGATGCTGTCCTGGAGTGTCTCCTCTTTACTCTATGGACATGAAAGTAAGAGCATGCATCACACTAACTATTCAGTCGCTACAACAAGCATTATAATGTACTCAAATGAGGGGCGGGCTGAAATACTAACCTCTGATGCAGATTGATAATTTGCCGTAAATGAATCCATCCTTGAATCTAAGACTTTCTTTCCCTTCAGTAGTTGATCAGCTATATCTTTTACTCCTTTCAGCTCCTCATTGATCTTTGATAACTCGGCATCTCGAGAATCCAGAATCAGAGCCTGCCGACGAGCTTCATGCAAATGAAGCCTATTTAGTTTGGACAACTTTTTGGCCTTCCACCATAGACATTTGAGCTCTGTTCTCATAGACTCGAGGCTTTCAAGAGCTCCTTGTTGTTTGGAAATGGTGGCCTCAAGCCTCTGATTCTGGGCTTCCAGGCACTCGAGCTTCAAACCCAGACACTCGAGCTTCAGCTTCTGCAACAGTGATTCCTGTTCTTTTGCATCACAGTAGTCCCAGAATTGCGATTCGACCTCACATGATCTGCCGTTGATTGAATCTACAAGGCACTTCAAGCTTTCAACCTCTTCTTCCAAGCTATGTGCATCTTGGAAATTGATGATGGAGACCTCACATGGGTTCTCTGGACATTGCACCCTCATGATTTCTTCTTCTTCTTCTTCTTCTTCTTCTTCTTCTTCTTCTTCTTCTTGTAGGCACATGGAAGATGATTCCTGGCCTTGCAAGCTCAACTCATCCTCAAATTCAGAGAGAGAAATGCAAGGGGAGGAATCCATGAACTGATCTACTTGGCTTGATGTACTAGAGGGAGATTTGCTACTTGTTCTACTCTTTTTGGCGATGATGGAGAAGGTGAAGCCAGCCAAGGGACGAGATAATGGAATGGCAAGCTTTAGGAGAAGAGTCTTAATTTCCTCTCTCCTAATCCTTTCCTTCTCCATTCATAGAGAGCTGATGGTGCCTTGTTCTCCATGCAATTGAATAACCTATTGGAAGTCTTGTGCATGCTTCATCCTTGTCTTGCCTCAAGGGACTACTACCTTTTTGTGCACCTTCTGAGCCACCTCTTGAGGTTGGTTTCCCTCCAAAAGGGGTTTGGAATTCGAGTTGCTTTTGCTTTGGGTAATAGAACACACATAAACAAACAAGGATAAAAGATAAGAGAAGGAACAAAATGGCCTTCTCCAAGCTGATAAAAATTGGAAGAGATTTGGGTTAAGAAAGATCTCACTGAAATAACCAGCCAACTTAAAGACAACCCAGCCGGTACTATAACTAAGCTGAATAAAGGCTAGCAGCAGAATGCCTGCAGCTCCCCTCACCCAAATGGCAAAACCTCTAAAATCTAAACCATGCATTCTTATCACAGAGATTACAAGTATTATCCAGTGAAACCAACAGACTTCATTGTTCAAACATACATAATTCTGAGGACTTAATTCAGAATTGATTTCCAGTGAAGTCGTCGTGAAGGGAAATGCATTTCACAAATCCAAAGTGCATGTTTCTTTAACCTTTCCATTACATTGTTATCCAAAACGTTGGCTTTAACATTTTAAATAACCAATATGAATGATCAAATACAGGTTGCCCGCATGTTGTAAGCACTTGATCTCTATCTGAAGAAAAATTATTGCCACTGTGGTTTTTGTTCTTATGATTCTCCATTAGGGTCTGAGCTAAGGAATTGTTGTGGAATGTGTTGTTTGATTAGGTTCTTCATTTTATTGTTAATCCAACCTGGGCTCAATTGAACTTACTTTTCTAACAATAATTATACAAACTTGATTGTTGGACATCCTAATTCAGTTTAAATAAGTCAATTAGGTGCAGCTAGTCCGAAAAAACAATTTATTACCTGAATTAGCTATCTAGGTATCTAAAGTCTAAACCTATTCCTAGTTCGACTCAAAGTACCCATATTTTCATATTTATCTGTTCTTGATCAATGGATATCCTAATCTGATTCAAGTGTATGATGTGTCAGATAGATATAGGTGCTTGTAAAAATCTGAAAGATGTCTTTGAACAAAAAAGTGAGAAAATTGGTTCCACTTTGAGAACCAATAAATTAAATGGAATTACTTGATGGGGGAGGTGGGAGAAGAGGAAGAACACCCAGGTTCAGACCCGAGACATAGTTGGTGGACTGAAGGTTGATACTCTCAGTTATGCTATGGATCACCTGCTCTAAACACTTGGCTGATACAATTCTCTAATAGTCTATTTGCATGTTTAAACAACATTCTTGGGGATCAGAGAGGGGTACAAAAAATATTGAGGCAAAGGCAAGTCCTGTTCATCAAGATGTCATGCATGCTCAAAATAAATTTCTCCTCACCGAGCAAGATCAATTTAGTACAATAGCTTGCAATAAATATCTATCAAGCAAATTCAAAATATTTATCTTGTTTGGATTAAGGAAAAAATAACTCAAAGTTTGGAGACTTACAATTTAATGGCCAAATTTGGAGCTTGAAACCTAAGACTCTTAGAAACTCTTGTCCTGTTGTTCTATTTCTCCAGCAATTCTCTTTCAATTTATTGTGTATGCATCTCTCAGTCAAGCCTTTGCTCAAGCATTGGCACCATCTCCTCTTTCTCCTCCAGTTCCTTCTTTGCCTCTCCTCCTCCTCTGTGCCTGCTATATATATCTCCTCTATAGAATTCCCATGTCCTCCAAACCAACACCAGCATCACCGCAGCCCCTGCCATCGTCACCGCCGTAATGATGATGAATGCAAGCTTGAAGCACTCCTCTCCGACGCATGTCGCCAACGATGACTCCGAGGAAGAAGAGGCAAAGGAAGAGTTTGACATGTTGCCGATTGCGTTCTGCCGCACAGCCGTGCGGTCGTACAACTGCCCGGCCACCTTCACGTTCAGTATGTATGACCCGATAGGGCTCGCTGCGCCGCCGAAGTTGTGCAGCGTCGAGTAGTGCTTCAGCCCGAACACCTCCGATATGATGGCGAAGAACAGCGGCACCTGTGCCCCGAAGCAGAATCCGGTGATCACCGATGCGGCGTATAGCGAGGCCGGGATGCTCCCGAAGGCGATGAGGAGGTGGCCGGCGCAGGATAGGAGGAAGACCAGAGTGAGCAGAAGGGGGCGGGGAAGCCTGTACTTGACTAGCAGGATCTCGGAGGCGAACCCTGCGACGACGCGGCCGGCGTAGTTCCAGATGCTGATAAGGGAGACCAGGGTGGCAACGCTCTGGGCATCGTAGCCGAGGGACTGGCCGATCTGGCCCATGTTGTCGATGGCGGTCAGGGTTCCGCCAACGCCGCAGATGGTGGCGATGACGATGATGAGCATGTCGACGCTCGCGATGGCTTGCAGGATGGAGTAGTCCTCGCCTCTCTTTGGGGCCCTGAAGACGTCGGCTAGGGCTGAGGAGGATGTTACTGAGTTTTTCTTTGGTGATGTGATCGATGCTTTCGGATCGATCGGTTTGGATTCCAGCGGAGGACCTCCGATAGGTGGCTTGCCGCGCTTCCAATTCGATGCCTCCTCTCTCGCGACCACGACGAGAGGGAGGAAGAGGAGGATGAGGACGACGACAGAGCCGGCCGTGTAAGCGCGCTGGGAGAACTCGAAGCGGCTTTGCAGGATGATCACGGCCATGAGGAATCCGGCGAGAGCGAGGGTGATGTAGAGCAAGGAGCACAGGACCTTGAACTCATGGGATTGATGACGATGAGGAGGAGGCTTCATGTAGCGGATGGTGTGCAGGAAGACGAGGGAGACGGCGGCGGGGAGCCAGGCGACGAGGAGGACGAGCGACCTAGGGTCACCGCCGTGGCCGTAGAAGGCGAGGTAGAGCTGGGTGAAGATGGCGCCGCTGAGGCCGACGAAGCCCTTGAGGAGGCCGAGCACGGCGCCGCGGCTATCGGGGAAGTTGCGGACGCAGGCGACGAGGGCGCCGGTGTTGGCGAAGGCCTGCGAGTTGGCGCCCACGCAGATGTAGAGGCACATCTGCCAGAGGCGGGGGCGAGGCGTGCGGCCAGTGATGGCGAGGTAGATCATGAGGTAACCGAAGAAGTTCATGGCAGCGCCGGTGGCGAGGACGACGGAGGGCGGGGCGACTTCGTTGACGAGGCCGGGGAGGACGCCGACGCTGGAACCGAGGTCCTTGAAGAAGGAGATGGTGTTGAGGGTGCGTTGGTCGTAGGCGAGGGAGGACTTGATGGCGGCCGAGTAGGCGGAGAAGATGTAGGTGGCGCCGGAGGCAGTCATGATGAGGAAGGAGGCGAAGAGGGTGAACCAGCGTCCGCGGGCCACATGGACGGCCAGGTTGATTGGATCCCAAGATGACATCCTTCTTTTTCCCTACCCTCTCCCCCTGAGAAGAGGAAGCCGGAGAAGAAGAAGGGGCGGCTTCGGCAATTGGTCGTCAACGGTGATTGGCCGCTGCCTCAGATCTCGGAAGGGATTTTCGTTATTTCATTACATTGCCGTTTGTCTTCGAGGAAGAAAACGTGAAACTTAAGATAATTTGAGGTCGGCTACGACATAATATTTTAAATTAAAAGGTGAATATTAAGATTTATGAAATAAACCGGAAAAAAAAATTCACCATCAGTAACAATTATAACTGAGATTAAAAGGAATTTATCTTTGATCGAACCATTTAGTAATAAAATATGAAATTTTTTATGCATATTAACATTAAAACTTACAGCAACTTTAAGATCCAAGATATTTTTAATTAATTTATTTACATTATTAATGTGATTGAGCTGCAAGGATACATTGACATTTATCTACGTTTCACGAAACCCCAAGTACATTTAATTTGTCGTAGCGTATAAGTTGAGGTTAGATGCCGAGAAAAATTGAGGCCAAAGACAGACATCAAGTCGGGCAAATGAATATAGTTGGAAGGAATTAAGAAAGCATGTCAACAGCAGCGACAGAGAGGCACGCGTATATATGTGTAAAATGGTAAACATGCATGCTATTATATGCAAAAAAAATAAAAAGATATAATTGTTATAAATGCATAAACAAACAAGCATATTTATCGAATGTGGACCCAACATTAATCTCGTCAAATGTTGGGTCAACTGATGCCATCATAAATTTGATAAAATTTTAAGAATAAAATATAAATATCATGTTATAAAGAATATAAACATATTCATAATTAGAAAACACTTATATGCCCATGAAAAAAATTTAAAGACCTTTGATATTAAATAAATAGTTGAGGATATTTTCAAATCGAATCGAACCAATAAGCGGTTCAGTTCCTGATTTTTCGGATCTGATCCACCCATCCAATTCGGATTTTATAAACTATGAAACCTCTGTATTATTTCAAAAATCACATACAAAATCTGTGAACAAATTACATGGGAAGCCGTCTCTACCATTCTGAGTGACCAACGAAAAGAGACTAATATGTATTCAGGTGATGACATAGGTGACGATATAATCATGAAAAACATATACCAACATACCTTGAATTAGCTACGTACAACTTACCAAACAAGATTAAATGGTTCGGACCCTTCTGGATATGCCTTTTTCTTTTATTTTGGTGCTATGTAGATTCGCAGGACCATATACAACGCTGCAGTCCAATTTCTACTACAAACATTCCGAGAGATTCGCAGGTCCGAGAAGTTCCAATATCTTCAAGAATAGAAACCTTGTGAGAAAAATCAAATAAGAGACATCTTTAACTGTATAAAATGTGTGTCAAAACTGAACATGAATTGTAAGTTAGAAGGATTATCACCTTCACTGCACCAATTACGTGCTAGTGTAGCTGTACACATCTGCCTCTATTACTCTCCAGTTCATGAAGTATAAGATGGGTTTTGATCAATTTTCAAAATCACTATGGAACGAACACGGATCCACCAGCATTCAAGTGTCAAACATGGCAGCCCCTGATGTAAGAGACGACAATAGTCCGGCTGCTGGGCCAGGAAGAATGTCACCAAATGTCGACATGGCAGCTGCAGATCTGTCCTTGAGCTTACCGACTTGTGCATCAGACAGCATGGAGCCCCACCTAGAGGTACTCTCCCCAAATTTGCTGCCAACCTATTTATTTTGGACAATAAAGTCAAAACCGAGACCCAGTTCTAAGTTTCCAGGTAGCTGGAACACAGTAAAATGTCATAATTAAAAAAAATTAGACAAACATCAAAGCAAGCTATATCAGAAATATTAGGAGATAAAGCACTGTTGCAGATCAATTCCAACAGTGAGGTTATACATATACGCCAAAAATCAAGCTGATGTAGCGCATGCCAACTTGCTAAAGTCTATGGGAAGATATTGACATGGATTTAACATTTTCTAAATTACCACAAAGATGATGTATGACACTCATATGGGAGACTAGTAATTCAGCAAAGAAGTGATTGAGTTGGAAAATTTTCAGACCGAGTAGCTAGTCTTTCCTAAGACACCAAAAGAAGTCAAAGCACATAATCAAGAGGACCTGCAGTACAGGAAGATAAATCAATATTAATTCGAGTACTAGTACTACAAAAAATTGATGAACACAGTTGTGGAATTGATGTTTGTGGCTGAAATCCAAGCCATTTCCATCCATATGCAGTTGTCTACAAGGACAACGCAACTAGAGAATGCTGAAAGCTTATTCAACAATTTTAGTCAACCTAACATCATCCTAGAAACATGATGCCAATATAGAGAGGTCTCCTAAAGCCCAACAGGCTATTTGGTGGGTGAAAACATTTACCTGATCAATTACAGTATAATTTTGTGCAACTGACTAACGCCCCAAAGTTCCATAGGCCTGATCTATTATGCAACATATTTGGAAACATATGCACATCATGGCTAGGCGATTATGGTATTGTGGGGCTGGAGTGCTGAATAAATAATACAAAGGTCTTTGAAGATTAAGTCCACTCAGAAATCATGAGCACAATCCACAGAACAATTAATCAATAATATAGTGTTTTGATATCGTAAACTTGAATTGCAATCAATAATCCAATATAAAACCCGCCTATGCTGAATGTTCAAGCATGCCTTTGTTATTGCCTAAATATATCTTGCATAAAGTTATAAACAATCTAAATAAAGTCACCAAGTCACTCATGAAAGAATTATGTAATATTGTCAAAATTAATGTACCTGTGTCATTATGGACTTAAGCAATGGTGCTGCAACTCCAAAATTTGTACCATCATCAAACTCGAACTTTGACAATTGTTCTCCATTTGTGTTTGCTTTCCAAGAACTCCTCATTGTGGAATCATCAGCTGCCTGCAGAGCTGATTTATGTACACCTCTTGAAGACAAGGCAGGAGCACTGGAGGGGAAAAAAGTTAATATCATAATCACATCATAATTAGTAAGTTGGGGCACGGTTAATTGAATGAGAGTGATACTTTCAAAAATCTAAGATGAAAACAAACATTTTTTCAAGCAATAATTCACCAATCTAATTATAAATTTAATCTTCTTTTGCTCCACCACTGGCTGCAACATTAACCAACTGGTGCATGTTATCTAGAACTACTTTTTTCCACATATAGAAAACACATATGAAGCTTCAAATTTAGCTATATAATTTTTGCAACAAAGTGGATGATACAGCTAGACAAGATCTTTTAGTAGCCATGAAGAAGATGCTAAAACTATAGATTGAAATCATTTCGTACTGATCATATAAATAGGTGTTGGTCTTATATATACTGAGCTTACCACAGTGTCCTGACACTTTAAAACAATTCTAGTATACCATAGCATCTGTACCCGGAAGTACCGCTTCTCTTGCTGTAGAAGACAAGGCCTACAAATTCTACATGTAATACTCCAAAACATGCACTTTGTCAACTCAGACTAGCATAAACTACTTTGTAAGTTCATTGGGATCTTTTAATACTACTTTGTCAACTTCATTTCTCTTTAAAAGAAACAGACCATCTAAACAATACCAACTTTCATTATATGCTCCTAAATTAGTGGTGTCTCATCAGATAATAGAAGGTCAGACCCTTGCAAATAAATTACCATAAAACCTTTTCAAGCAATCCATACTACCAGCAGATAATATTGCAATGATCAGGCACCAAGGAACATGATCTCGTTTTCTCATTAAACCTAAAACTTCTAATTTAGGCTTCCCACCACTATGACATGATAGATTATATTTCTGTTGAGAAAACCATGTGGCATGGTCCTTGCACATTTCATTTTCACTTTTTTTATCACTCAAACCCTCCCTCCAGGTTCACACTTATGGTAGTGCACTCATTTTTTTGCAATCTCGGAAGAGATGAAATATGAATTTGTCTTCTCATATTTATACTTCTAGTTCGATTAATCATACTTGGTTGATCTAGCAAGTCATCTGTCACATGAAGTGCTAGTTAAGATCCAGCAGCACAGAGATTATCATCAATCAAGAATCCTCTAAAGTGATGAAGTTCATTAGAAATCATTTTTCCCAAAATTTCATTCGATCTTTCCAGGTTTGTGATCCTCAATTACTCATATATTATATTGAACGTTACTGAAACACCACTTTCATTATTTTATGTTGCAATGTTAAGACTCTAGCTAGGAGAGTCCTAATTGAGAGGGACATTCATGTAAAACCTACCTAAGCCGACCCCTATTAAAGAGGTGAAGAGGCCGGCTAGGGTTAGGAGGTTGTTTCTTAGAGAAGAATTAGGAGTTGTAAAGGAATAGTAGTCTTAAGTAGAAGTCCTATTAGGAGTTGGTTAGAAGTAGGAGTCTTGAATAGGAGTCCTATTAGGAGTTAGGGTTTAGAAACCCTATAAATAGCCATGTATTCCTCCTCTTTTGATAAGCAATAAATGAATCTTTTCTGCAGTCTTTGAGCAGCAACTTGGAGGGAGGAACCCTTATAGAGTTCCAAGGAGGCCGATCCCCTAAAAAGATCAACCCCAAGTTTAGAATCTGCAAGGGTTCTAACACCCGGTATCAGAACAGCGTTCTTGGCGTCTCGCTGCCCTTCCACAACCATCCATCAACCCTCCACAACCGCCCAAAGCAATTCCCACAATTGCTTAAAAGATCGTCGCCAAATTCCGCCGTCATCTCCACCGCCACGGATCATTCTTTGATCTTCCCGTGAATTGCAACAGGTTCTGGTTTTCTACCTTACTGCTGCTGCAATTTAGTTATCCTTATTTGAAAATCCAAAAAAAAAAAAATTCCTATATTGCTACATAAACTATTCGTAATAAAGTTTTCATCTCTATGATGAAAGATACATTGCAGAATTCCAACCGTATAGCACCGTCTGTTTGATCTTGCTATTGTGTTTTTTCTATCCAAATCTCTACGAAATTTTTATGACATCTTTGACATTTCCTAACAGCAGATTTCCTTTGGTTTTGTCAAAAAAATTCTCAATATAAACCATTGATATTTTACGTCTAATCTGCTATACTTGAAAATCTGTACTATAAAATTTCAACCGCATAGCACT